ATAAGATATAAAATATTACTCCGGATTTTCAGGGTTATTGATCAGCAAATTAAGGTCCAATTCGCATTCCGGTGACAATATTCTCTCTGGTTTTCTGTGGCTGCCAGTCCCTTCAGTATCTTACATTTGAGTTCAAACAGGAGTATGTCACCATTCAATGTAAAAGATCCATTCCAAAATCCAAATTTCACGAAGGAGCAAGTACAGTTATTATATAGAAACTTTGCACATGACTATGATTTCATTATTGATCTGGCAATAATTGAAGACATTTACACATGGACAAATGGGTATGTGAATTTTATCATAGTCACATGACAAAACAAAAAATCAAAAATTTGCTTTCCATGATTCTTTTATTTGACAGACATGCTGGCCTAGTATGCCTTTGCAGAAAAGCTATTTATGTAAATTTAATAAGGAAGCTTGATGAAAGAAGAAGGCTTGACTTTTTAACCTGGTTAAACTTCACCATTAGTTCATTGCAAAAATCAGTACTAGATTATGCCACCTTTAGAAAGATGGTCCATATACTTACCAAGGATAAAGCCAGGAAAGCCATGCAACTTATTCGATCTACATTCATAGGATTCTTTGATTTAGTACAGATTGTTGACAATGAAGAAAGAAATTTAGCAGAATTCTTAACAGCTGAGGGTGTGCTAATTAGGGATGAAGAGACCAAAGATAGATTTAAAATGTCATCTGTTTTTGTAGATGAGCTGGTTCGACAAAGGGTCATTCCTGAATTATTCAAGTCCTCCCCAACAGTTGCAGTTCCTACAGTTAATTCGTGATATTTAAATCTAATCCAAGCTTTGAATCTATCAGGTGTATCAATATCTGTTCCATTTGGATATTGCGCAGGAACTGGAACATATTTACCCGCCATTTTTGATTTATAGATATCTGCTTTATGGGCATTTGTAAAAGTATTGGCATTTGTATTATTAGCATCAGCAATCATTGTATCTGCATAAGCAATTGCTTGTTGTATTTTATTACAATAGTCATCTGGTGGTTCTTGTCCTATATAATTAGGAATATGAGAAAGACTGGTTTGGATTGTTTGATAAATATGTTGTCTATCGGCGGCCGCCATGTTTGGATTTATAGGTGGATTATTCTGTAGTAATAAAATTTGTTGATTCAAATTAATAATTAATTGCTGAGAATTGCGCTCCCTATTTTTCCACTTGATATGTCTTGCCTTTCGATCCTTGAATTTATTGTAATATCTATCAAAGAGCCGATCTCGATTATATTCTAATAATCCTTTATCAGCCCGACATTGTTGTAACCCCTGTTGTAATTCTCTACCATGTCTTTGACACCTCCGGAGTTTAAAATTAAGTGCAAGCTTATCAAGTAATAAAGTATTAATCCGCATCTGCATTCCTTTTTCCAATTGTTTAGCTACCCTCCACCAATGTTGACGTTCTTCCCGTTCATTATAATAAGCTGTAGTCATCAAAGCAAGATCATTCTGAGAATTGTTACGCTCTAGTGTAAGTTGGTTAACATGATTTTGTAAAGCAATATTTTGCTGTCTAAAATGATTGACATCTTGCTGTAATTGTACTATTTGCGCATCTCGAGCATCTCGTTGATTTGTAACATCATCTAAATCCTGGTCTATTCTTTGATAATTAGCCCAAATAGTATTTAAAGTGCCATACATACCTTGGATAATATTGACAGGATTAATTAAGGGTGTACCCCCCGTGAAATGGTTTTCAAGGCGATTTAATCCTCTAGTGATATTTATAAAGGGGTCTATATGTGCCATATCTGTATCTTCTTCTGAATTATATAAGATAGGAGAGCTTCTTCTTGAAGAAATAATTTTGAATCTAAGCCTTAGATTTTGAACCCGCTCTTCTGATTCTTGTAATTGCTTCTCTATAATATCAGTATAGGATACCTTATCTCGGATTTCCTTTTTAGCTTGATATAAGCTTCTTTTAAGGGACGCTATCTCCGATCTCAACTCCGCCTTTTCTTCCTCCAAAGCATTATCAAGCCATTCCAGTTCTTTATTGAGGGATTGGATTTCTTTCTCACACTGGGTATATTTGTGCTCTAGCTCATTTATGTATTTCTCATTTGACTTATTGATTGAAACTTCGTTAGATAACTCATCTCTTAAAGCTTGATTTACCTGCTCCAATTCCAATTCTCGATTAGATACTGGTTCATGAGATATTCTCTTAGGATGTGGTCGATGAAATGCCATGGTTATTACGAAGTAATGAGACTCTGTCTCTATTTTTTTATTGTATAATATATCTCCTGACTTTGCTAAAACATTATAGTAAAGAATGATCCCTGTTATTTTTATTGATACTAAAAAAGTTCGTGAACTTGATATTGGTATTGCTCTTAGAAAATTATATTATCAAGCTTCTGGTTATCAAAGAACTGCACAAAATCTTTTTAAAGCATCTTTGAAAGCTGGATATGATTTTACTTTATCCGAAATAAAAGAATGGCTTGAGAAACAAGCTCTATATCAAATTCATAAACCTCGACCAAAGTATATTCCTTGTGCTAGTTTTAATAAGATTACTGTTCCAATGGAAGTTATACAGGCTGATTTATGTTATATGCCCCATGATCAAGTTGGAAACAAGATATATAAATATGCTCTTAATTGTGTAGATATAGCAAGTCGAACTAAGTGGACTTATCCTTTGACTGATCGAGATTCTGCTAGTGTTGCTAAAGGATTTTTAAAACTTTATAAATTTCATAATTTTCCTCTTACACAACTAAAGATATTGCAAACAGATTATGGTTCTGAATTTTACGGAAAATGTGAAGAGTTAATGATTAAGTATAATATAGAAATTAGTAGAAGCAAATCAAAAAAAAGACAAGGTATAGTTGAAAGATATAATCGAACTTTACAGGAGTGGTCATTCTATATTCAAGATGGTGTAGAGTTGTTATTACCTCCAATGGAATGTTGTAGAGCTTGGGTGAATGATCTTCCTATATTTCTTGAAAAGATAGATAATACTAAAACCCGATTAATTGGTATGTCTCCTGCTGAAGCTCGAAAATTAAAACATGTATATGCTAAGTCATCTAAACCAAGATATGGACCTATGGGGTTTGATGAAATTCGATTATCATATAATGATCCTGTTAGATACTTACTTGAACCTGGTGAATTGGAGGGTGGTAGAAAAAGAGCTACCGATTTTAATTGGTCACCTCAAATATATCATATCAAGGAATCTCTGGTACAAAAAAATCAACCAGTCTTATACTGGATTGAAGATATTGATGGGAATGGTCCAAAGCGGTCTTTTGTTCGAGAAGAATTGATGGTTGTCAAGAATGTTGAATACCCGCCTCAGAGAATACTCAAGAGTTAAGGAAATCACCTGCTTCTTCTTCGATTTCTTCATTAGTAGCAAAGTGGTTTTTGGCTAATTGATGATATAAATCACTAAGTTTTAATACAGCTTGAAGAATTTTTGGTTCATTTTTATACCATTCCTGATATTGACTTTTCATTGATATATATTTATCCTCATTAGGGTATATTCTCTTTGCATTGTTCAAGATATAAATATCTGGATCTTCAGCTTGATGTAATTCAGTATATCGCTTTTTATAATTTTGCATAAACTTGCCATCCTTTTCTTTTTTATAATAGACGCCTGCTTTTACTATATTAACTATAGCTTTTTCAATATCTTGCCAGGTTGGAATAGAGGACTTAGCCTCTGTAGATACTTGATTGATATTTTGGGTACTAGTTGACATTTGAATATGTGTTATGTTTTGATTATCTAAAGTTTTGTATATTAATAATATAAAAGTTTTTGTTTAAATAATTATTTCACTATATATAAAAAATGATTGGTGAATATACTTGTCCATTCTATCATAATTCCGGTGAAGTTTGTGGAAGAACTTGTATGAGATCTGAAGGGTGTAGTTATCATTGGAAAGCTAAAAGAAGAGTACCTTGTAGTGAATGTGGTAAACCAACTGGTTCAACTTCTGGCAGATGTCCATTGCATATTAGGGGGTATTATGTTATCCAATACTATAATAGATTACATGCTAGGGCTTCAAAAATGTCTTCTCAATAAGTGAAAAATCTGGCTCAAATTTTATTAGACTTAGCGTATATCAAAAATTTTTTATTAGACTTTTTCATTAGACTTAGCATATATATATATCGAAATTTTTATTAGACTTGGCATATATGTATAATTTTTATTAGACTTTTGTGTGCCAGAAAAGACAGAAAAGTAGTGAAGAATCGGCTTTAGATTGAATTCTGCTATATCAAAAAAAATGATATCATTCTTGATATGGATTTGGATAAAAGATTGTGTTCTAGATGTATGAAAAAATGATATGCTATTTGGTGTTTTGCGTGGTTTATTGATAGCAAAATGATTAGTGATAAAAATCATTATCCTTTTTGATATGAATTTGGGTAAAATAATGTATTCTAGATGTATGAAAAAATGATATGCTACTTGGTATTTTGAGCTTTGAATTGATAGCAAAATGATTAGTGTTAAAAATCGTTATCCTTTTTGATATGAATTTGGGTAAAATAATGTATTCTAGATGTATGAAAAATGATATGCTATTTGGTGTTGTTGTGTGTGAATTGATAGCAAAATGATTACCACTGTGCCAGAACACCCATTTTTGCCCTACTAATCATACATTCGTACATTCGTACGTACGTACATATGTAAAATTTCCTCGTACAGGTGTACGACCACAACGAAACTGTACGAACTCAATGGTACGAAGTCAGTCGTACGTATGTACGTACATACGTACAAAGATTCTTCTCGTACAGCGAAATTTCACAACCCTGATTGCAACTTTTAAAAAAATTAATTTTTGAGGTTTTTTGAAAAATACACTTATTTCGTTATTAATAATACTTCTGTAAAATAATAATAATTTATCTAATGAACATTTGTACACAAAACCATACCTTTTTTCTATTAAAAAATCTCAAAAAAATATAGGGTCAATTAATAATTTATTTGTCTAGCAGGGGTCTACATTTTTTCAAAAATTGCGTGCCGATTAGCATGCAAATCTTGTACGTTTAAGGGATAATAATAATAATAACATATATAATACTACTACATAATAACAAGGGATTTAAATAAGCATATATAACATGATAATCAGTTTTTTTCTGATAATGAAATAGTATTACGACCCCAGTTACAACATCTGGTAATCCATTAATTATATAATAGTGTTATCAGCTTAATAATAATATTATTATTATAGGATTTTACAAAGTAATATTTTGCCACCACAGAAAGTCATCGTTCCTGATACATTGTACATTCGTATGTACGTATGTACATATGTAAAATTTCCTCGTACAGGTGTACGACCACAACAAAACTGTACGAACTCAATGGTACGAAGTCAGTCATACGTATGTACGTATGCACGTATGAAGATTCTTCTCGTACAGTGAAATTGCACAACCCTGACTGGAACCACTGAAAAATTTTATTTTTAATACCTACATTTTACATATAATAATGAAATAAATATGGATAATGTCACTGCCACTATAAAGTTCTTTTTTCTTTTGGACGGGACTTATGATCTTTTTTTGTACATGGCCCCCATGTGATGATCATTTTGTAGATGTTCACCATGTGGCTTTGCTCATAAGTTTCAATTAATGATGGTGGCCGAAATTATTTTAGAAAATCCGAAATAGTTTCGCCCACAGACATTGGGAGTTTAGGCTCCTAAACTAGTGGCGAAACTCAAAAATTGCCTAAACTGTGGGCAAAATCCTAAACTGTGGGCAAAACTCCTAAACTGTGGGCAAAACTCCTAAACTGTGGGCAAAACTCCTAAACTGTGGGCAAAACTCCTAAACTGTGGGCAAAACTCCTAAACCGTGGGCAAAACTCCTAAACTGTCAAACCTATGATTAAAAAATTCATAAATAACAAAACTTTTACATATATTAATTAATCTATATAAAATAATTTTATTATAAAAAATATTTCCAAAACAACTGAAAATCAAAAAAATCTTTCTAATATGTACAGCAAAATAATGTAATAATAATTATAAAAAAATTTTTTTTTACAAATTGGAATTATGAATTATGTAATGCTGTCATAAATGATGATGCCAATTCATTTGAATTATATTCTTCCTCCTCTTCATAATACTCATCATTAGCTAATACGTTTTCTTCATCAGATAAATACTCAGATCTATTTTCATCATTATCATCTAGATCTTGAAAATTAGAATGAGATAAATCCATTGTATTTTGAATAATTAAAATGTAAGGTTCTGGAAGTCCCTCATTAGCATTTATATCATTATTTTCCTCTTCTAATGAAGACTCTTCTATATCATCATCATCCTCATCATCATCCTCATTATCATCTTGAGCTGCCAAAAAAGTATCCAATATTTCATTTTCAGAAATATTTTCTCCTGCTAATTTCAATTCTTCCTTGCAATTTGAGACATAATAACCATGAATTTTGGCTAATGCTTCAACATGCTCAGTACTTAAATTGCACCTTTTTTTCCCATATAGCCATCCACAAGTTGACCAAATCCTTTCACAAGAAGCTGCATGTGGTGTAATAGCAAACAATTTTTTAGCCAATTGTTGAATATAATTAGGTTTTATTTCAATACATGACCACCAACTATAAGGAGTCATTAGACTTGGATCATATGGAATGTTATAAGGATCCTGATTTCCTTTATAGTTTATCAATTGACTCATTAAAGCTTTACCAGTTTCCAACTTTGAAGGAATTTTTTCTTTTATTCCCAATTTAATTTTTTTCTTTGAACTTTGATTCGAAGTCATATCTTTTGTATGTGATTTTTGTGAATAAATATGATCCCAAATATTTGCAGCAATTTTAGCAACACGATGAAATTCTCCAAATTTAATACCAGTGCCTGTTTTCAAAAAGATAAGTAAGAGGTAAAGAGATAAATATAAAAATAATCAATCATTTCTTAATTTTTATTTATTTTATTTATTTACCTCTGAAACCTGGATGTAAAAAATAGGACAATAAATACTCATCAAAATCAAACTCCAAAAATCTTTTGTTTAAATTATTAATACAGTGATTACGAAAATTTTGATGGTGTTCAAGTGAAAGCCTATTTACAGAAGCTGCAAGTTTGACCAAACTAAAATAACATTCACCTAGATTCGCAGTTCTGCTTTCAAGCTTTATTATGAGTTCTTTTACTGGCTTTACCACCATAATTATGTCATGTATATCTTCATAGAACCCTCTTCTTTGTAGTATCACTTTTACTGAATTATTACTGATAATATCACGATGATTCAAAATTATCTTTACAAGGTAAATATAATTAATTAAATTATATTTAATTTAACTATTCCTTATAAAAATTTTTTTAAAAATAAAATATTAACTACCTCTTCAAAGCAAGGTTTTAAACGTAAAATCGATGCTAAACATTCGTATGTGGTGATCCATCTTGTCTTTACCAAAGTTTTTAGACCACCACCTTCGATGCCTTTTTCTTTAATTAGTTGATTCAGTAACTCTCCAGGACGGTGAGATGTTTTAAAAAAACTTGTTAAAACTTTGCAATAGTTAATTATTTTTTTTGGGAAATTGTGTGCCACAATATCTTTTGTGATCAGGTTCAAGCAATGAGCAACACATCGAATATTCAGTATGAATGGAAAATCATCATGAATCATTTCCCTTGCTTTTTTAACATTTGCTCCACCATCAGACACAATGGCTACAAATTTATTGATTCCAACTTCTTCAAAGATACATTTAATTTGTTCACAAAGGTACTCGCCAGTGTGACTAAATGATGATAAATCCTTAATTTTATATAGATGTTCTTTATGATCAGAGGTAAGGATCACAAAGTTCCAAAGAGAATTATTTCTTGGGTTACTCCACCCGTCCAGGGCTATTAAAATAAATAAAAATTAATTTAATAAACAAAAATGAATAAATAAAAATTAATTTAATAAAAATTAAATTATAATTAAATTTATATAACCACCCAATGTTAAATTTTCGCTGTTTTCTAAAAGCTTATTCATTTTAACAGTGATTCTTCCCAATTCTTCATTAATTAAACGATCAGAAAGCATTTTTCTGGAAGGAGGCTTGTATGCTGTTCTCAGCTGCTTTATGAATTCAATAAAGTATGGGTTTTCTACAAGTTGAAAAGATAAATTACAGACAACAACAGCTTTGGTTAAAGCTTGATCAATATCTTGTTTTCTTTTTGTTGTTAATTTGGTACTTTCAATAAAATCCTCTAAACCAGTTTGGTTTGATGGTCGAATTCTTCTGTTAGATTGATTTACTGACTCATTATCACGTTTAGAAATAACCTCAAGAAAGGCATATTTAACTGAGTCATTAACTGATGGACATTCAAAAGCTAAGTGATGTTCCATCATAGTGGGAGAACCCTTATTCCAATGCTTTCCACAACTTTTACAATCAGCAACGTAATGACCAGAAGAAATTTTTATTCCTTTATTAAAGTAATTCCATACTACAGCATGTGGACATCCACCTTTTTTTCTTTGTGTATCTATTTCATTATTAATAGGTGTTAGAGAAAGCGATGGAGGAGAAGATGAAAGAGAATGTGAAAAAGATAGAGGAGGCGAAAGAGAAGTTTGTTGAGTATTAGAACTTGAAGAATCAGGTGTAATTGGGTTTGACATTTGTGAAAATATGATAAGAAAAAAAAATATAATAATGTGGGAAGATAATAATTAATTTTCTGCATGATTGATTATCATTTATTACAGAGATGACAATTAGGAATTCAAGTCCCAAACATTGTTCCAAATGGACAAAAGAACGAAAGAATTTGTGTGTGTTTTAACAATGCTATCAAAATCCTTTTAAAACCATATTTTTAAAGTTTAATTAATGAATGAATGTATTTAAAATAAAATAATGAAGAAAAAAAATTTATCAATTGTGTAGATTTACATAATAAAATTAATTTAACACATCCCTATATTGTTCTGTTTTGTCTATCACCACCATTAAAAAAGCAAAAAATAAACAGACAAAGTTGTAGTTGGACATTGACGAGAAAATGCTTATTTAAGAATCCAGGTCATTACATGAATAGTAGAAATTTAAACACTAATATTAATAAGTTTTGCAGTTTAGGAATTTCGCCCACAGTTTAGGAGTTTCGCCCACAGTTTAGGAGTTTCGCCCACAGTTTAGGAGTTTCGCCCACGGTTTAGGAGTTTCGCCCACGGTTTAGGAGTTTCGCCCACGGTTTAGGCAATTTTTAAGTTTTGCCAATTTCGCCAGAAAAACTTCATGGGCGAAACTAGGCCTAAACCGAAATTGCCTAAATGCCTAAACTATGGGTTAGTTTCGGCCACCATCATTAATTTGACCCCTGAAATCTTTGGTAATACCAATGTTCACTTTGTCTGGTTTTGTTGCAGTATGCCCCATT